ACTTGTTTCGTTTTGTAGCATTTTGACTTTGGTAATTCTCAAATTGAAGAACCACGTGGGCAATTAAAGTCTCGTGAATTGCAACGTTGGCTCCTATCCTTTTACCTTTATCTGTTTTTAATCAGTTTTTTCGTCGTAGCTTTCCTTGGTTTCGTTCATTGGCAGTCCTAGAATTCGTATGCTGTCGCACCTGTCGTAGCTCTCTAATTTTTCTGACTGACGTCTTGAAATAACAATTGTAGGCTTGTTGGTCCACTTCGGACGTATCATTGTTCATTAATTAGTTTGTTCCAACTACTGCAGGATTGACAGCTTCTTTAATTGAGGTCATTAGTTTTTTTATCGAGATATTCAATCATTTGCGGCAAGGTAGTTACCGTCATAAAATGTTTTCAAAATTGGCGTTTGCCTTCGTTCTACCAATGGAGTCAATGATTTTATTATTTGAATCTGTTAATTGCCTTCTCTGAAATTATTTAATAAGTTTATCAGAGCAATGGGAGAGTTTTATTATGATGCAGCACTCAACCGTATCTAAAAATTTTTATTCGTGTCTGATTTTGCGTGGGAAAAATTGAAAGTTGGAAAAAACAAGCACCAAATACAAATCACCGTACCACCTTTTAGTCGGAATAGTTAATCAAATACGAACAACCGGGTTGAAGTTGAAGATTCTGAAGAGTTAAAGGTAAAGGTGACGTTTTAAAGTAGATAGTAATACAGGCTATTAAGTGTCAATGATCGATGTGAATACACTTATTTGGTTCGAATTTTCAAAATATATTTCATTTTTTAATTTTCCCAGCCAAAGAAAACATTTTCGATGGATTCAGTTTTTGCTCAAATAACGTCAGCTTTATCAAAAAAAGCACTCGTAAAATGTTAAAGTTTAGATTTTAAAAGAGCTCTAAATCCTTTATTTTTTTCTTTGGAATTGAATTAATTAGGTTTCGTGTGCATTGGCACTTTTCCAATTGTCAAATTTTAAAATATCTGTCCTGGAAAATATAAAGAGTTTTTACCTGTCATCATTTCTTGGCGAAGTGTTGGGGTTTATTATGTGTAACCAGACAATAAATCAAAGCAAATACTCGAACATATTTGGCGCCCAAGTTTCATGCTTAGGCCGAAATGGGTCAGTGTCAAAAAATCGGCTTAGAACTCAAATTATCGTGTGCCTGCAAACTTACAAAAAAAGGTCGTTATCGTTGCGCGGTGAAGCTACACCGAAATCAAGCATCAAGCATCGGGGGCTTCTCTCATGTGCGAAGGACCGAATAGGCGAAAAAACTTGTGGGCCAAGGACCGAAGACAAAATTAGCCGAAAGTCAATTTTTAAAAAGAAGCAATTGCCATTCAATTGAATTGAATTAAATGAAGCAATTTTTTGCTTCTTTCATAACGAAAACCTTGAAGTATAAAAATTGTCCCTATTCGGCAGCGGTCAGTGACAATTTGAAAATTTTGCATATTTCTGCCGTTTTTATATTCGGCCAATTTCAATACTCAGTCCCTTGAAAAGGTTACTTTCTTTCCAGATTTTAAGTAACTGGAATCTGATTGACTGATTTTTATTTTCGCTACGGTAAGAATTTAAAATTTGGATTCAGAGGTTTTGAAACCCTGCTGCTCAGTTTTTTTTGCATTGTGTAACTTTCACAAAAAAAAAGATATCAATGTGAAATGATGAGTTTCAAAATTGATTGTAGCTCAATTTTTTTTTATATGACAACAATTTGTTCAATTCAACAGTTGAAAACTTTTGGTACATCTAGTTCGTTTTGACTCATCGTAACAAATTTTTAGACTAAATAGCATTCTTCAAATTGTATTTCGGGGAGCTTAATCTTATGCTATGTTTCTCTTTGTATAGCAAGTGTTGCGAGAAGTTATGAATATTCCCCTCTGTGTCCTTAGTTTTGTTAGAAAACCCCCGAAATACTGCAATAAGAAGTGCAAGAACTCTAAGTACCCTTTTTCGTAGTAAAATGCACTATTTTGTCCTACTCATTTAAATCTGTAATGCCATCGTGACTTTCAGTGTACCATATGCGCAAAGTACGTGTACCATATATTTGTAATTGGGTGTCCCACTCTTTCACCCGACGTGATTTAACCCCCAATTTTTACACCATCTACTTTTTAACCCCGTAACAAGATAACCCCACAACATTTTAAACCACTTTTAATACCGATAATTTGAGACCCGAAAAGCCAGTCTTTTTTCACTTGATGCCTCTAGCATCTCAAAAATCATTGCATTTCGGTTAGTTAGAGAAATAATCCCTCGTTCACACGTTTAAAACCGAGATGACCTACATAGTGCTAATTGAAAGCAACTCAAGAATTATAAAAAATGTACATAAAATCATAGTGCCTTACACTTGAACGATTGTTTTACTTTTCTATGAGCTAAAATGTTTGAACCGTCCTTCCATTTTACTTTATCCTCCAAAGACAAATAAATATTAGTGGTATCAGGCCACGAGTAATATCTTAAACGTAAGAACAAAACCACTACTAACTGGAACTGCTCAAAAATCAGAATCATAATGCCGAGCAACAGCAACTACGGATGGCGAAAGTTTTATTCAAACGAGGGGTGAGCTTAATAACGACATATCTACGGGAATACCTGATGCTCGACTAGTTTTGAAAAATCAAGGACCTGATCGAGAGTAATACTACGACTGTCGCAGTCGCCACAGCAATTGAGTCCATAACAGACAATCTTGCCACTCAATTAGCCCTACCATCAAAGGAAAATTTAGTTCAAACAGCAAAACGCATGCGCAAGCAACGAGAACAGGTTTTACCAGACTCCCCAGCAACAAGAAACTTCGAAATACCCGAGCTATTTCAGAACTTTGTAAGGTCTCTGACAGTGGACAGTATAATCACGAAAGGATCATTTTATTCGGCCACCCAGAAATGCTACGTGTGCTCAAAAAGTCAAATTTTTGGTTGGCGACGGAACTTTCAAAATTACTCCTAAAATGTTTTATCAACTGTACTCTATACTTGTTAGTCCTTCAGGAATTGCCCTCGCTTGCATATATGCTTTCTCACCAAATCAAACGGAAAAAACTTACCATTGTTTCTTAGAGGTCCTAAAAAACTTAACCCCTGACAGTAAACCTGAAAAAATGTTGCTGGATTTCGAGCAGGCCGCTTTTCAAGCGTTTCGAAAAAACTTGTAGGATAAATTAGTCGAAGAAATTCAAGTGGTATGCGATTGCACTATAAAAAAGTCGGAAAAAATTGCAAAAGTTGACGAGCCCTGTCTGTATTTTGGATCTAATTACATAAAAAGTCTAGTCCCGAACCGAGAAGTCCTATTCCCCCCTTCACTGTGGAACCAAAGTGATGCGGCAATATCCGGTTTCGCAAGAACAATAAATGACGTGGAGGGCTGGATAATGGCATACAGTCATACTTTAGTGGTTCACACCCTAGTATTTGAAAAATTATCGCAAACTTGCAAAAGGACGCCTCCCTTCAAAAACTTAGTTTCTTTAACGCCTCAAGCGGGCACCAATTTACAAAAAAGAAAGTACCGAGTTCTAAACGAAAAAGTGCAGGTTTACGAAGAGAAAACTGATTTGCATTACTTTTGTCAATTTTTTGTCAATAGTTGTTTGTCAAGTTTTTTATTTAGACAAAAAAACGCATTGACTTGACTCGCATTTGAAAAATGCTGTCTCTAGCAATTTGATCCCGGAACAATCGCTCATTTGGTGGGACGCTAGGTTGGGACTAGGGGCTGGCGAACCCTTTAGACATTGCGTTGTATGCCGACAGTTCAAAAAAAATGACAAACCTTAGATGTTTCGAAAAATTAGTTAAGTTTTACTTAAACTGATTGCCATTTGGGAAAAGCTTAGATTTTATCGATGAAAGTTTTGGTCACAACCAATTTTGATTCCGTAATTCCTTTATCGGCCATTTAATCTTTTATTAGCAAGGTTGTTTTCAAGATCAAGTTCAATGTTGCACAATTCTAATTATTTTTGATTAATAATTTGAATCATGGCGATCGGATTGATTTTCAAATTCGTATCAAAGTCTAGACCATCGGCAAGGTCATTTCTGTTTAAATTTAAACCCCAATTAGCAGCTTGCATGTTATTTCGATTTGCTTCGCCAAAAGTTTTGCAATTAAACCTTTGATGTTTACGGACTCTATCGTTCCGAATTCCTTTCAAGTAAGTTTCACTTTGATTCTAACAATTGGTATTAAAAAGGGGTTAAATTGTAGTGGGGCTATCCAATTTTAGGGTTATATGAGAGGGGGTTAAGAAAAGGGGGTTAAAAAACGCGGGGTGATGAGCTTGGGAACCTTTTAATTTATAGCAACGAGCCAAACGGAAATATGATGTCGAAAATTTGAACACTACTCCCGTATTTAAAAAAATATTTATTGGACAAAGAACTTCATTTTCGAACTTTGTTCCGAAATGACGTTTTTTCAGAGACTGCTTCTCAAAATTGATTTTATTTCTTAAAAGATTTGCATTTTGAAATTGTTTTCGTGCTGAATTTTGAGATCTAATCTCCATTTTTTTTCTGGCTTTTCAGCTATCGGATAGCTGCAATGTCGAATTATATCACTATCATCGGTTTAGTTTTATCTGTTTAGAACAATATTTGGCCGTATGGTTTTTTTGTCAATTTTATCAAAACTTGAGTGCCATTACGGGCTTTTTTGCCTGACAATAAATTAGCAGAATTAGTAACTTTTATTAACATGAACATGCTCACAAAATAATCACATAATTTAATCACGACATGCATTATTTTTCGAATAGATTTTCGGCGTGTCACTGATGATTGTTACATTGTTGAACTAGGCTAGCCATCATGCGGAAAGCTGCGTTGAAAGAGATAGTGTTTAAATTTTACTGAGAGCATAGAATGCTCGAAGAAACCTTTGTTCGCAGATTTGTTAACTTGCAAAGACTTTTTCTGTTTTTTTTTGCTCTTTCATGGTGTTTTTTTTTTCAATTGTTCGCGGCTGGAGTTTTGCTGACAAAGAGTGCCATAAAATTGGACCGGAAATTATTACCGAATAAAATATAGATATAAAAGTTTGCTGAATTTATGAGACAGTTTGTATTCAGTACAATTGCAAACATCATGAAGCCTGTTGCCTGCTGCTTTATTGTAACCATCGGATTGTTGAATATTGCCAAGGTTAGGACCGAATGAAGCAGACAAAGCACTCCGAAGAATAAGCAGACGACAATCATTTGGCGAGTGATCTCGTTCTCGTGGTTTCTGTTCTTCGTCGAGCTTACTTTCCTCCGTTTCTTCCTGGCGTTCAGTTGCAATTTCACTATGGTGATTGTGGTCAATATTAACACCAAAGTAACAGGTATCAGACCGTTTAAAATGCTGTCAATTAAAGGCCGTAGCCGAAGGAAGTATCTTGGACTTATTAGCCCAAATTCACGCGGTACGCATTGAAAAAGCCATTGCGAATCTATCCGGAAAACGAAAACCAATGGAAAATTCCAGACAAATTCCAGGAGCAAAACGACTGAAGTAGCCACTAAACTTACTCGTGCTTTGCCATATAGTTTATATTTGATTGGAAAAACAACTGCGATGCATTTATCCAAACTGAACAAAACTGTTACATAATAAGATACCGATGACGTAACCCAGGAATAAAGGATGCCCGTTACACAAGTGAAGTCATTAACAGATTCAAACTCGTAGCCTAAAAATAACAGAAATAAATCAACAAAACCATCGTAAATTACCGACAGAAGGTCAAAGAGAGCTAAGGAAAACATAAACCCAGATCCTGAAGTTAATTTTTCCCATTTTGATATGATGATCATCGTGGAAACATTTCCGAAACAACCGAAAAAGGTGAAAACGCATGCGCAAATTTCAATGATGAGTATCGCGTTCTGAACAGATGGGTAAGCATCTTCCCAGTCGAGCAGGGAAAGGGGTTCTGTTATGTTAATCATTCTTTAATTTAGTTTTTCTGGTTTTTTGTTAGGAACGTTATTTTTGCAATAAGGGTTCCGATTTTTTGGCAGATAGTGATACTGGAATAGTCAAAACAGATCAAAGCTTGAAATGAATTTTCTTTAATAAATCAGTTCAACTCTTTTCAAAGGTACTGATTTCAAATTAGAAAGATAATTTTACCCCGCCTCGAGGATGTAACCTTTCAAATTTCATTGGCATAGAATTTATCAATTGTTTGAGTTGTGACGAAATGGGTTGCCTGGAAACAATTTTGGACATTTCTGACTTGTGAAGGAAATACTGAACAAAGATATTTGCCTCTCGGGAGCAATTTCACCAGAGCTGACTTTAACAGGAAAAAGATTTTTGATGCAAATTGAATTTTATTGAAATAGTTTTCCAGAAGCAATTTATAATTAAAAGATTAGCCTCAAGCTAGGAACAGCGAGTCGTGTTTGTTCAGATTTCAAACCTTTTGTTTATTGTTCCAACTTTCGGAGACTGACGCATTATTTGTGCTCGGGGTAGTTTTTTCTCCAGTTTTTTGGCTTCTTAGGTAGCCATTCTTGGCGGAATGTTTTCATGCCATCTGAAAGCTTTCGATGTTTGGTGTCCAAAGCTAAAAATTAAAAAAAAAAGTCACCTGGGACCATTTGTTTTCATGTTATGGGGGCTTCAATTTGGGACTACTTTGACTAGCATAATTCAAATTGGTACAATTAACGCGCGATATATTTCCTCCAAATATTTCTGTAGCAGTATAATGTCATATATGCCTTAACATTTGATTAGTAAAAAATTAACACAGTTGACGAATTTTTAATTCATCAAATGAACCGAAAAAGGTTATTTGTTTCAAACAGCAGTACAATGATAAGATTTCATATCTCAATTATCTCGCAAATATATAAATGAAAAAAAAAATTTGGCTATATGTTTTCCAATTTATTACATGCAAAATTGTGTCTTTTTGTATTTTTGCAGCATTGAATTGGCAATTTATTAGCAAATGTAGCATCGTCCTTACTGGCTACTTTTTGGAGAATTTAAGCATCCGTGGCTGAGTAGTTAGTGCGTGAGACAAAATTGCAAGGTGGCAGATTCGAAACATACACGTAGACGAGTTTTTGCTAATTTGAGGCTTATTTTTATTTTTTATTATTTTACTTGATAGAGTTGCTTTTTGGTCGTGTTCTCGCAAGTGTTTAAAAATTTCACACGCGTTTTTTGATTTTTTTTTGCAGTTAGATTGTTGTTCCACTTCTGTTCCGAAGAAAATACGGAGTATTCATTCTTGATGGTATTTTTTATTCAGTCAAATTTCGTCTTTTAACTTAGCATTTTTGGCACTTTTCATAAATATACCATCTGAAAGCTATCGTTGCCGTGAGCTCACTTTTAAAAAGTTTTTGTATCTAGTTAAGTTATAGTGGTTGAAAATTGCTTTTTTGTTATAATGAACGCGGGATATGTTGTGATCTTTAATTACGCGCAAGCGGCAGACTAAATAATTGGCTTTAGGCCAGCAATTTGGTCTGTTCAATTCGATATGAGACTGTACAATATCCCTTTGTAGTTTACATAGGGTGTGGAGGATAACAGGAAGAAACAACTTAAAAAATATCATTGAATTTTCAGAAAATGGCGCAAAATGGGTTGATTTTACCGATGGTCTTTTTTGCATAACTAGTTTTCTCACTGCCGGAGCCATTATATTCTGGCCTTTTTTCAACTCGAATAAAAACAGGAAACAGAATCGGCTTATTTCAAGAGAATCGATGAACGGCAATTTTTAGTAAATTATGTTGCACGGAATTAGCAAAAACATTAAAATTATCAATCCAGAAAATGGGCTTGTTCATGCCTTGATTTGGTGATTTTTTGATTTTTCACAATGAACTCGTTTTCAGTTCACGCAGTTGAATTAACAAAAACTCAATTCCAAACCAATTTTGAACCGAATATAATTTTTGCATTTTAAGTTTTATCAGGTTCGGCTCAAATGTGATTCTCAAATGGAACGACTTAGGTAAGAATCGAACCCGCGCCGAATTCCCCGGAACGCACTATGTATACGCTGGCTATATAGCTGGTTTTGACAAGAGACTATACTGATTTTTTAATATACTTTCAACTTAATGCTATGTAGCATTAACACATTACGAGGCCAAACTGTGCACTGAATAGGCGCACAATTTTGTGTCTGTATGTTCCGGGATTCCACAGACAAGTCTTTAAACAAGTTAACAAAAGAAAAAGTGAAAGAATAAAAGAAGAAGAAAGGGAGCGTCCTTGTTGCGGAATCCGCTCACAACACTCAAAATGCACAGTTTGGCTTCATAATATGGCAATTATTCCAATTTATATCAAGGCAAGCAAATTGGCCGAAACAAGGCATTGTGAGCCCCAAGCTGTACCCGCATCCAGTTTCCAGCGTTAACAATTGATCATAATATCATTTTACTTCCAGTCTTTCAAAAGTTCAGAAAAAAAAAGATTTCAATCAATTAATAAGCTATTGTAATCTCCCTTTTTGAAATCAAATATAATCGATTATAATACATTATAAACGATTATAATCGAGTATTTCTATCCGAGTTTCTAATTTATTTGTTTTGCAGAAAAGTCTATTATAATCGATTATAACAGCTTATAGTCGTTTTTATTCGCCCATTTTGTTTTCGATCTTCCGCTTGAACTGCTTATATTTTATGCCTTTCGTAGACGATGGTTTCCGTAAAAAAATGGGAAAATTGTTTTGACAGTTTTGAAATCAATTCAAATTCATATATATATATTTTTTCATTTCTTGATTATAATTGTTTCATGATGCACATTCTAAGTTTTTTTGACCACCAAAACATCAGCACACTCTTTTAATTTCATGATTTATATAGAAGAATTATATTTCACCTACCGTGGGATTCTTTCATTTATTATGAAGTGATCTCTATGAAACTTTTGTTTTGTGGTAAGACTTTGTGTTCAGATGAACCAAAGAGTAACAAGACATCTCACTTTTAGAGATTTTTGACCGAAAAAAGGGTTGTAATCTATTATAAAAGATTATAATTGATTAAAGGAGATTAGAAGAGATCATAAGAGATTATAACAATTATAAGTTATTATAAGAGATTATGAGAGATTATAATAGATTATACGAGATTATAATAGGTTATAAGAAATTATGAGAGATTATAATAGTTTATACGAGATTATAATAGGTTATAAGAAATTATTAGAGATTTTCGGAAAAAATATAATCAATTATAAATGAATATAATTGATTATAATATCACAAAAAATGTTATCATTATAATGGATTATAAATCGTTTAAACATCTAAATTTGGCGAGTATAATTAATAAAAATTTTGATAAAAGTACAACTATAATTGTAAATTAATCTATTATTTTCTCTTTTTACTGAGTGCGGGTAATATTTATACTTGACGTTGCGTCTTGGCTGTTGATTTTCTCAGAAATAAATGAAACTTATTTTAGTCTCCGGACAAGAGTTCAAACGTCATCTGCGCCATTTATTTTGGTTATAGACGGGAATCGAACGCAGTGCATACAAACTTTTTAGTTGAATTAGTTAATATTACATTTTGGTCAGCGACTCAGTTTTGAAGCATTTGCTAACTTTTTTTTAGCTGTTAGTTCAATGTAACATTTCGACGCCACACTAGGTAACTTTTGTACAGGTTTATATTCCACAAACTATGTTTCTATTTTAAACTGGAAATTAATTTAACTGGATATTTTAACTGGATATAGATCTGAAATATTCGAACTGGATTTCACATAAATGAATGAATTTGAACTGAAGGCTAAATGAAGCTTCCACAACTAGCTTTCGTTTCAGAAAAACTATGCCAATTTTAGCGTAATTTGCTAATTTTGGTACATAACGAACGTTACTCAATCGCTTTGCTCGCTCAAAAATAGAAGAAAAATCAAAAATTTCAAACTGGTTTTTCTGGACACTGGGAAGTTTCTAGACGCGAGCGAGCACTGTTATAATTTTGTAAACTGTTATACAACCGAATTTGGCGCTGTATCTCAATGAAGTGAGTTCAAATAATAAGGGCCTGTAAAAACACAATTCAGCAGTCCAAGTACCACTGATTCGTAAAATAATTGTTCTCGGAAATCAATTTGTTTTTTTTTGAAGTCGCTGGAGTTAATTATTTCCTCAACCCTCGGTCGACGCAATTTTGGACACGAAAACTTGTTCCTGGCACTCAAATTCTTCTATTTTGCCATTTGAACTCTAGAACTAAATTAAACAGCTTAGATGCGAGGTTCATTGCTGGCGCTTTTGCGGTGGAGCGTTCTGCTGAAGACAACCTTTCCTCGATGCGAGCTCATATCAGCCCTAATTTGGGCTGCACGGAGAGCATTTTACGGCTATAATGCTGGGGTACAAAAAACAATCTCCGGAAGTATTCGAATGCAAGAATGCAAGAAGTGCATCAAGATTGGAATCAACTGGACTCCATTTTCCAAACACACAACCAACTTCCTCAGGAAATGGGTAAGGACTTTGTCTTTGGGTGTTTTATTTTTGTTCAATTTTTTTGTTTTCCACGCGAACTCACTTACTACAAAGAATTAAACGAACGACAAATAAACGACGACAAAACCTGGGAATAAAACAACATCAAAATTTTATCGAAAGCTTTAACCAATGTTGAGAAAAACCTGCTTCAAACATTTAATTTTTAGTTTCGAAAGCTTGATTTAAAAATCGGGAAATCTTTTAAAAAATAAAAAGGCTACTCTGCAATTTTTTTAAAAAAATTGTAGACCAAATTTCCTGATTGTAATTTCAGATAAAGTACACCGTCTGCTCGTCACGCTATCTTATTTTCGGCCGGATAGATTCGTGCAACTTCTCAGTCTAATACCGATCTTAATCATACTCTTATATCTCCTAGTCTCAATAGATCTAGTGTATACTGGTTTTCGCGAGTTAGTTCTTGGAGTGTATCCAGAAGGAGAACAACTGTATTCAAAGTTTCATTTTAATTGTTCTGGTGCTGAAAGTACAAGTAGTTTCAGCACTAACAAATAAAGGTAAATGTTAGAGATGGAATATGATTGGTTAGTTATAAATATTTTATAGTGGTAATCCATCATAAATATTATTGGTCTATAATTACTAGTTTAGAACTGGTTCCACCCATCCGGGGCTTAGAGATTTTTTAGTTGTTTGTTGTAGTGAAGGACGGGTGATGTAGTTTCTTTTAAAGTTGCGAGCATTGACTTCTTGGAGAAAGGAGAAGTGTGGCTGTTTGTGTTTGACGAAGAAAAATTGTTATTTTCGTGTTTCAAGATGGGTCTCGTTGATCGTGGTAGTCTTGGGTGATTGTGTCAAGACTTCTGATCGATGCAATGGTGTATCGATTTCGTTAAGTTTAGAGCGAGACTCTGTGCAGGGTGAAGTTTGACTTTTCCGTGTGAAGTGCCAAGTGACTAGGATCGGTACGTGTGGTCAACATCGAGATGGCAATGGTCTGGTTCAATGGTTTTCCTTAGCTGATATGTTGAGTCCATACTTTAAATCCTTTGAGATTAGTGACTTTAGGCAGCAAATCGAACAGATTTGCCATTCCGAAGTTGGAATGTAGTTGGATTGTCATCTCCTTTGCTGCTCGTTCCTTGGGCTCTAAGAAATCTTAACATACTGCATTTATGATTTACATATTTAATTACTTTTTGTTAATTAAGTTTTAGTTATATTTGTTATTTTTGTTATCGCAAAAGCGTTTTACTTTAGTTCGGTTATTTTTTAAGAGTCGCTCACACTAGAGCAACTCTTGGCAAAAATAGAGTGTGGGTCACAAAGCGTTGTGTAGCCCGGTGGGTTAGGCCGGCTATAGAGCATGCTCAGGACGTCCCTCTGGTTGGTGAGGCCACGAGTGGGGTATATTTTTGTGGTCTCTTTGTGCAGAGTCTCTTTTTGTGCTCAACCTTTTGTTTCATGATTATTTTTTGTCTTTCTCTTTTTTGTTTTGGTTGTGTTCTTTTCTCAAACATAGAATCTTTTGGTTTGGGTTTGTCTTTCGACTTTTTTATGTTTTATTTGATTGTGGTAAAACTTAAAAGTGGTTTTCAAAATAATAATTTATCTATCCAGTTTTAATCTGGTTTTAATCTGGTTTGGGTACCGTGGGTTTTTCTTCCTTGGTCATGCCATTAGTTTTTCGTTTTGTGTCGTTAGTAAGCTGTGTTGGTTATTTCAGTTTACTATATAACTCCTTCCCACCGGGTTAAAGGAAAATTTGAAACGTGTGAAAACTAGTTAGAGTTGTTATCAGTGAAAGTTGAAAGTTAAAATTCATTATTTAAACAATTCTTTGTGGGCGAGCTGTGCGATTGTGGAAAGAGTGTTTGATTTATGAGCGAGTGAATATTTCAAATTTATAAAAGAAGCGTCTTGTAAAAAGTTTAGTACACTTAAATTTATCTGCAATTTTTTTATGAATATACTACTTTGAAATAATAATTTCACTTCTTTGGGAGTTTTTATTTATGAGTTTCCTACTGAATCTTACCTAGGGGTTGCGGTTTGTGATCGAGGGTTGGAGAATAGTAAATCAATCCACAAGGTTCAGGTAAAATTAGAACACAAGTAGATTGTTAGATACTATTTTATGACTTACTAATTTGTTAAGGGTTTTAGCCTGGGTCATCTAAGAGGAAGGGCTCAAGTGAAGGATGAGTAACCGAAATTTTTCACTGTTTAGCTTAAGTAAACGGTTAGTTTTTTCAAAATTTCTTTCAATTCTGGGTCGTTCATAAGGTTTCGGTAGTGAATCGACGTTTGAGGTCGTTAGAAACTTTTTAAAATTATGGGAAGGGGAGAACAAAATTGTTCTGATTTGATCAAAGGAAAACCTTGATGATCAGTAATAAAATATATATTAGTTTTAGGTTTAGGTTAAAATGAAAAATCCAAAGGAAGCCTTGATGATCTGTTTATTAAAGAAAAGTGGGATATTGAAAGCAAGGCTAACCCTTGATAAATTTTAATTTTGCAAGTTTTGAGTTAAAAGAATTTTCAAAGTTATTGTTTTGATAATATTAGTTTTTGAGTTTTTGTTGTTCTGTTTTAGGTGATGCAGCGGGGTTGAGGAAAATTAGTTAATTTTTAAAACTAACAATGTTTTTTGTACTAACTATTTTTTTTATTTTGTTTTTAATAATTTATTTATTGAAAAATTTTGGTTTACTGCAGTTTTTGGGGGTAACGACTTGTGCCTTTTTTATCAGTCGTTATTGTAAAGATAGTAGGTTTAGTACCAGTAAGATTGTTGAAGGATTTTTTCTTCAAATTATTTTCATGTCAGTAATTGAAAATTTAAATTTACTACATAAAGTACTCTAAATACAAAAGTTTGTTCCGGTTTCCGTCGTTCTATCATGTAGCAGAGTGGTCCGTTTCCTGTTGGTCTTTCGCTCCAGGATCTTGGTCTTCTTTCAATATCTGGTATTTCTGGTATTGTTTGAAAGTTTGGCGTAAATTTATTGAGACGTTGAGACATTTCTATTAAATTATCTATTCCGTCTAGCATTGTTGCAATTTTGCACTTGTCTAATTCTAAGATGTATTTTTTCTAAATCTAAGTTAGTTAAGGTTTTGTTGGAGACTTTTGGTCGCACCAGATGAGTTATGATCTATTGGTTATACTCATACAATATTTTCAGACAAGGTACACTGTCTGCTCGTCACGCTAGTTTTTTTTCGGCCGGATAGATTCGTGCAATTTCTTAGTCTAATACCGATCTTAATCTTACTCCTATATCTCCTTCTCAATAGATCTAGTGTATACTGTTTTATGCGAGTTAGTTCTTGGGGTTTATCCAGAAGTAGAACAATTGTATTCAAAGTTTTATTTCAATTGTTCTGGTGCTGAAACTACATG